CCAGCGCACGCGCCAGTCTCTGTCAATTCAAACTCCATTTCCACAGCAAGGTGTCTGTTCCACAGCCCTCTCTGGAGACGGGGACGCGGTGAGCGTGGCGAGTCCGTGAGTGCCGTCCGAAGGCCATTCCACTCTTCACTCCAAATGAAGACAAAGCAAAATCCAGGGCTCAAGCAAGGACCCGGGAAACCCCGTCCTTGTCCTAACAGTGAGATGTAAATTCTTAAGCAACATAGGTGCCAACAAGCAGTGACTTGGCTGCACTGAAGCATTGTCCTTCCAAACTTATCCTTTTGTTTCCGGAGACGCCTGCACTAGTCCAGACAGCGGCTGCGGTGGCAGGAACCCATGGCAGGTGGGCTTCAGAGCTCCCCTCTAATCCACTCCAGTATTAAACTGCCCAACTCGCTCCAGAAGCACCTTCCTCCTACATGAAACCCAACATGAAGACCCGCGGGAAAGGAATGCCCTCACAGACTCAGTGGACATGAAAGGGCGGCCGAAGGTCTGGCGTGAACACTTGCACCTGCTGGCGGCACCCTGCGGAGAGGCAGATCCACACCAAAGGCAGTTGCGAGGAGCCCGGCTACACCACCTGGCACCCCAGGCGTGTTAGGTAATATTACGACGTTCTTCTTTTGAAGGTAAAGAACAAGCTGACAGGGCCATATGCCTGGCCCTGAGATGAACAGGGCTCACAGGGAGTCCTGAAGAAGCTCAAATGACATCGAGTAACAAAGAGCTCTTTGAAGACCACTCTTGTCCCACCTCACTTACCAGAGAGCAAATTCTGAGAGCAGGGATCTCATTCTCTGTAATTCTGCACAGGCCCTCACCCCTTACCCAGCCTTCCACTCGGCTCCGACGCCTGCTGCCGGGGCTGTCTTTACTTTGAAGGTCAGCAAGGGGAAAGGACACTTCGTAAATGCCAAGCCAGGCCAGCAGTTACGCTGGTGTGACCTGGGCCACCAAGCAGAGTCAGTCACCACAGAAGGGGCGGCGGGCCTTACCAACAAATTTCCACGTTCACCTACTGTGACAATCTAGACATGGCAAAGGGATGGCCCCACAATTTGACTGATTTCTCCTCTAAAGGAATAAAGAAGTCACCTACCCTCAATCTTCTCTGCAGAGGGGTCCACTCTGTCTCCCCAATGGTGGACCATACCCCCCCTCCAGGCCAGAAGCACACCCTGAGTCAATAGGGCTCTTCCAAAGAGGCTGTCCCATGGAAGGTCTTGTGCTTGATGTGGCTCTGTGCCCGGCTTCTCTGGGCCCAGGACTCTGGCTGTGTTTTCAGGCTTTTTTCTCACTATGAGGATATGGTGAGTCATTAGATGCTTGTGAGGAACCAACTTAGGAAGCCTCAACTACAACTGGCCTCTCTAAAAGGAGCCACGCACCTGAGCGAACACTCAACTGAACAAGTTTCCATTTCTCAATGGGACCTGTTCATCCCTAAGGGCAAGCTGCTGGCAATAAGCAAGAACTGGAGTCAACAGGCGGGGCCCTCTGCAGCAAAGCCCTCAGCCCACGGCAGCAGCACGCGCCTCTCGGCTGGCCCAGGTGCAGCAGGAAAAGGCCACAATGAGACTGGGGAAGGCTGGAAATCCAAACAGTTGGCAAAGGACATGCCCCCTCAGCACCTCAGGAGCCGCTGTCCACGACCAAAGCTGTACCTGTGCAGCACCACGAGGAACAGAACAAAGCACAACAGTGCTGACTTCTGCTCGTCTGTGCAAGGATCACAGGGTCTCCCGGTCAGCAGGATGCTTACTCATCGACTCTTACTCTGGAAGGTGACATGAAAGCTCATCCCCTAGACCAGTGACATTAGCTGAAACTAAGGCCAGTCAATGTAACGTAAGAGAGAGAGGGCCACGGAAAGGAATTCTTTGACAAACACTGAAAATGCAGGGGCATTTTCACATACAAACAGAACTCCCACTTCTAGGTGCTTGGACCCATTTTGGATGTGCATTAAACAAAGCAGCAACGACAGACTCCGCTTGAATGTTCAGTCCAGGGTGCTGGCCCACGTGTCCAATGGGATACTGGGCCATGTGGAGACTGGTGGCCAGTCAGGGTGGCACAGGCAGAGGGTGTCGCTGCCAAGATGGAATAGCCACCGTGGGCAGCTCGACATCACACCCTCAGCTGCGGTGACGGATGCCACTGCACACCTGACTGGAGCCCTCACACACCGCTGACTTCTGGCTTTGGTGGCAGCTCCTAAGGAAACCGCCAAGTAACGTGAGGCAGCTGAAACCCTACAAGCAGGTTAGGGGCCCAGAGGCCAAGCTGCAGCACATACGAGCCAAAGCCACCGAGCACACGAGGGCCAGGAGTGCCATGTGGTCAACTATCCTGAGGAGCAACTCACGTAGGAGGAAGCCAGGTCCCCACCCCAGGCCCTACGCACGATGACCCCAGGGGTGGGAGGAAGGGCAGGGCGAGTGCCTCGAGACCTGGCCAGCGGGGCTAGCTCAAAGAGGAAGATGAACTGGCTCTAAAGGGAAAGCAGAAGGGAGAAGGTGGGGCAAAGAGCCAGTGGCTTGGGCAGTTTTGGCACAGAGAGAAAGCCCGTGAACACAGCGAGAAGCTACACACGCACAGCCACATACAGAGGGAAGTAGGGCTTTGCTTCCAAGCAAGAGATTTCTTTGAAGTAAAGGCAAACGAAGTCAGCGAAGCAAAGGTCAAGGATTCCCTTTTCTAATCTTAACAGACTTTCAAGCTGAATTCTCAATCAGAAATTGCTCCACTCTGGTCATCGGCGGGACTAGATGGGAACTGAAATTCAAGCACCAGAAAATGGGATCTGATGTGGAGAGCTAGATGTCACCTCATTATGTCAGAGCGCAGCAGAACTGGGCCAGAACACCCTGTGAACAGTATCGAGTGGGCTTATGGAAACGAGGCTGCGCTCCCCGATGCCCTTCTCGGAGAAGTCTGTGCCATTCCTTAGTCTGGTGACAGCTGGTCTGCAAGGCCACTTCTCTGATGCACCATAAAGAGCAAGAGCATGAGACAAGCTAGTTTAGCACCATTTATTAAGTGATCTCGGCTGTTGTTGCAGTTGCTGTGTGTCAGCCTGTTCTTAAAACATAAAATGCTCTTCCAGCTCCTCTTGTCCAGCACAGAAGGTTCTTCCAGGTAGCACGCCAACAGAACAAGAGGCTCCGATGATGCCAGCTTCAATGATGGTGCCATCCAGACAGGGAGAGGGTCATGGCACATTCAACCGCGGCTTCCAGAGGTTTTGAAAAAGGAGCCTTTGGGGACCCAGCCTGCCTGGCATTCTAGTGGAAGTGCAAAAGGTTGGCACATTGGGAGAGGGAGAGAGGGAGGCGCAAGGGGAAGCAGCATCTGGGAGTCAAGGAGGGTGTTCTGATCCCTGGAGCTGCATGGCTGGCGGACTAGACAGACCTCTGGACAAGGCAGGGAGCACAGACTAAGGCAACAAGCCCACAGGTTTTCCTACCCGCTCTGAGGACCGGTGAAGGGCAGGAAGAACTGCCTCGGGGGATTAAAAAGGGAGAACAGAGGAGAGGGGTATCGAAAAATACCTTTCCCTTTACTTCCTGGGTGGCAAGTTTGGTTGGGGAGCAGGGAGGTGGAGGTGAGGGGCTATATGGGAACTTGAAAACAAGAGACCAAGGAAAAGGAGGTCCCCAGCCAGCTCCCAGCCTGGACTCAGCCTGGCTGAAGGGGAGAAGCTATGTCTGTCTCGGAACAAAGACTAGGAAGCGCCTGTCAGGAGAGAAAGCGCAACACAGGACTGCTAAGACAAGCAGCCAGGGCCGTGCTGACTAGCAACTGCTGGGGGCTCGGATGAGTCACACCCAGGCATCTGGTTATGGACCAGCTCCTAGGGCAGCGTTCCCAGTTAAAAACTGGCCCTCAGCTAGTTTAAAGATAACTCCACCCACGGCAGTATCTGCGAGTCCTTGGGGAAAAGATCCCTAACTAGCCCGAGGCTGACCACCACGCTGGGCACGTGACTAGTCTTCACAAGAATGGTGTGATGATGACGCTATCGCCAGGGACGACGAGGACAGTGACACTGCTTGGCCCTGTAAGAGGAGTCTCCTTCGAGGCCCTTCAATCACAAAGACAGAGCAGCCTCACAACGGCCCTGCAGGATGGCCACCCCACTTTGCTGATGGGGAACAGGAGCAGCGTGGCACGGAGACGTGGCAAAGGCAAACCTGATGCTGGAGTCAAAGGAGAGAACTACACCTAAACGCCCTGACTCTGAGGAGGCGAGCTCAGCCTCCAGCTCTGAGAAAACCTAGCAGCCTCGCCTCGCCAGCTCTTCCCAAGAACCTGAACGCACCTAACGCACCTATGGCGTTCAATCCCTGCAGGAGGCGGGGCGTCGCCTGGTGGATGCGGTCCCATGTTCCCGAGTCCCGGGGAGAGCACACAGCTGCTTCCCCTGGCCTCTCCGGCTCCCTCGAGTCTACTCTCACAAGCACACTAGTCTGCTTCCTCTACCGCTTCAGCGCTACACACCAGGAAATGGAGCCATAATTCCTAACAAGAAATCAATTTCCCAGAACAAAAAAAAAAAAAAAGACTGAAGCTAGGAGGTTAAAAAGACATGCAAAAGTGGGGTGAGGGGCGGGCAGGGAAGAGGACTTTACTGTTCAGTGAAATTCTCTTAAGTACAGCAAGAAAAAGAGCACTTTGTCTTTCATCTTAAGACAGAGGTTAGTGAACAAAAGACAGGACAGTCTGTGTAGATAAAGCAAGCCCAGGCAGTGCAACTGGGACTCTGCAGAAGGGCCTTCTCCGATGCACACCCCTCCCCCCACAGTGTGGAGGGCAGGGAGCCTCACCCTCAAAGAACTGCTACTAGTGGCCAGCGCACTGGAGGGAAGCCTGGTCTGTCCCTCTCCCTAAGTCAGCCTCCTGCGCAACCCCCTCCTCTGGGCCCGACTCACTCCTACTCCTGCCAAGCTCAGGGACATGTCCCCCAGACCCCCATCACGTACTTGATGCTGTCGGTGTGGGTTTTGTATTCCATAATGGTGTTGGGAGGTAGGTTAAGCACTCGCCGAAGAGTGTCTCGGATCCGGGCTGTGGTTGCTTGGTCGCTGGCAGTCTTATTCCATATTGAAATAATGTCCTCCTACAGGAGGAAGGAGAGGAACCATCATAGCACACCGGGCCGTGAGGGCAGGAGAGGTAACACGTGAAGCCAGACGGGCCCGTGGAAAGGCTTACCTGGAAGCGGACAGAGACCACAGCCCCACAGATCTCCTCCCCAACCATGAACTGCTCCCCCAACATGGCCAGGATGAGATTCTCCCAGCAACGGGATGCCAAGCCCTTCCGAAGTCGAATGATCCACTTGCCACCGTTTTTATTTGCATCATCCTGTGACAACAGAAAAGAATTAAAGTTAAAATACGATTTCACGGCTCTTATTCTTTCACATCAAGGCAGTGCAAAGTCTTAAATGCTAAGATAGCTCGTCATTTGCCACGTTTCAACTTCACAGGGAACAATGGCAACAGGAGTAGGAAACAGGGCCGGGCCCCTGGGATGAGCCAAAACCTGAGCCACCAAAGTGGCCGGCCAGACCCTTTAAAAATAACCCTTTTTCTAGAACCACTTTAGGATTCAAAATGAAATATCAGATTTCAAACAGAAATCCTCTCTCGCCATGTGCTGAATGTTTACTGAGCAGCGCCACCAGGTCCCAAGTACGCAGCCGTCAGCCGCCTCCACCAGGATCCAGTGAGCCGAGGAGACAGGCCAGAGCGAGGCACGGCGGAGCCAGGGCGTGGCTCAGGAGGAGAAGCACTAAAGCGGGTCTGGAGAGCACAGGAGTGTGCCGGCTTTACCAGCCTGAGCAGGTGGCGGGGCCCGCAGAGCGGGGAAGAACATTCAGTGCACAAACCCTGACTGTGAGGCGGAGGATGTGGGGCCTCACAGAACAAAGGGAAGATTTAGAGCTGGAGGGGGTGGGGGGGTTGGGGGAGGCGCGGGGAGGCGCGAGGTTTAGGGGCAATGGAATTGTGTTAGCTGCGCACAATTTTCAAAAGTGGGTGAGCACAGAACATGTGATCACACTTTTTCTAGAAAAATGGTCTAGCAACATATAAAAGAGGGACTACAGCAGAGTGCAGCAGCGAGAGCACAGGAGCTCAGCTCCCAGTCTCCAGTTACTGCCTGTAAACTCACTTCTTACCCTTTTGAATGGCATGCGCACTAAGGAAAAGTAGCGCCCCCCACGCCCCCATTTCTGTAGGTACAGGGCAATGAACAAACATCTCAATGCCGTAGTGCCATGCTGGTGACACTCCAAGCAGACAGGCCATGGCATCAGCGCCCTTCCCCGGAGGCCCCAGTTCCGAGGCTCTGAGAGGATTCTAGAATACTTTTTAACTTCGGCCAGACTGAAAACAACGTTCTCAGAAAAGCCACCCAAGCCTGAGTCCTCACCTCCCACATGGGCTTAATCCCTTCTTTGAAGAGGTGGAAGTCGCTGTGGCCCGTCAGGTCCCCGGGGCGCACCATGTGGCTGTAGAACCTCCAGAACTGCTCCACCTGCGGAGAGGCCAGAGCACACGGTGGCTGGGCTGTGACTAGCCACGAGCTTTAGTTAAGAGGACATGAACCTGGATGGCACTGCTCTGGGCTACACTTTCTGGAGATTTTCATCGGGGGACTGTGTGGGAAGGAAGCATGACAGGAAAGCATCAGACAGCTGAATAAAAGGAAAATGTAGCACTGCTGACCCCCACTCACTCAACAGGTGAGAAAGGCCAGCCGCAGGCGGGAGCGTAGCAGGTGAAGCCACATCAACTCGCACCTGCCAGCGGGCGGCAGGACAGCTGTCACGCGCGGGAGGAGGGCCTTGCTTCACAGTGGACACCCTCCAGTCTCGGGGTTTTGCTGCACTAACCTGAGCCTGAATGTAGCTTTTAGAACCATATCACTTCTTTTTTATGCCTATAAGAACTGGGGTATAGGTCAGAGATGCGGGGTGGGGGTGGGGGGTAAGAGGCAGAGTGGGAAGCAGAACAGGCAGATCTACTGATGTACACTGCTTGGCGGGGGTGGGGGGAGGTGCGGGGAAGAGTCAGGAGAGGCCTGGCTCACCATGTGGGTCACTTCCCTGGCTGGGGATCAAACTCATGCTGCAGAGGCTGGTGACAGCTTGATAAGCTTAGATTTAACCCCTGTGCCAACAGGGAGGCCCCCAAATCACTTCTTGATCAAAGACTGTTTACTGGCAAATGTAGCATTAACTGCAACAAAATTCACTTTTGTTCTTAGTCACTGTGTGTCAGTGACAGAATCAACCACAGGCCTCTCTAAACCACAGTGCCACTGCTTAGGCCAGGGCAGTGCAAACCCAAGCAGGACTTAGCTTCTCATCCTAAGAAGGAGGCTTAAGTCCCTCTTTTTACCTAAAACATTTGTATTTCTCCTTGCCCCTTCTTCACAATCCTCTCTCTCCTAGACGTACGCTGGTTCACACCCATCGCGCTGTTCTCACTTCTCCTGTCAGTGCCTGACGGGCCCCCCACCCCCTCTAACTCGCAGAGGACACGCAGGAGGCACTGCCAGCTCAGAGGCACACTAGACCAGGACGGAGAAAACAGAGCACAGCGTGGCCTGAGATGTCACTGCCGGCGCACCACGGAGGAGGCTGTAAATAGACACACAGCTGGACGCCACAACTGTGCGGGTGAACAGGGGGGAGGGGGCCGCAGCAGACAGACTCGGCTCCTGCTTCTGTCTGGAGAGCATGGAGAAGCGGGACTCACAGTGTGCGACAGGACAGGCACTCAGGAGACGACCTGAGCGACAGAGACCTCGGCTCGCAAGTCCCCCTGAGGCGCCCGTGCAGTCTCATCGCGGGTCGCTGGCTCGCACAGAGCGAATGGGGGAGAAAGGGGCCACACCTGCACACTCAGCTAAAATCTTCTCCCGCCCTGAAACGCTGAAAGGAAAAGGATTAGAGGGGGGTCGGGGTGAAAGCACTAACCGTGCCCCCCGAGAACCTGCCCAGCCCACAGAGCCAAGGACCAAGACAGACAAGCCTGGTGCCCCCCGAGTCCAGTGCACGCTCCATCTCCATCCCCTGCCTTCTCAGTCACCAGGATTTTAAGAACTTTTAAATGTTGTCAAATGTCAGCACTGAGGACCACTGGGCAACAATGCTGTGGATGGGATAGAAAGTTTGGCGATGTAGTTATTTCTCCACAAGGTAGTGAAGACCGTGCGCTGCTTCCCATCGCCGCGCTTCCAGGAACTCGCCCGGGGCGCAGAAGCAGCACTGACCCAGGTGCCGCGGAGGAGGACCTACTCAGCCCCACGCGTGTGCCGAAAGAAAACAAAACCCTCCTTGCACAAGCCGGGTACATTCACACGTGCTTTTCTTAAGAGCGAAAGAAAAAAAATGCTACAGATATTCCTAATTACCCTCAGCTGCTTGTCTGCAAAATGAGGACAATTTTTAAAAAGCGGGCAATGAGAATCTCTCGTCACTTCCCTGCGACGTCCAGCATTTTCACACCGCGGGGAACGACAGCTCTCGTGGTGGGGTGTCAGGAAGGCATGGCTCTTTCCAGAAATGATTCTATTGTTCTCTCTGCCAGGAATTGCTTTACCTTCTTTCACGACCTGTTCCAATTCCTTAAGCTTACTCCTCACCCTACCTCCTGCAGACCCTGCCCCGCGGCGGAGCTCATCCTTCCTTCCCGCTGCGCTCCGGCGGCACGTCTCACTGCCTCCTGTAGTAGGGACTCCCGGGCGCATCAAATTTCGCTCAGGGCAGGGTCTCAGTTCACTTTAAAAAACCTATTAGTGCCTTGAATTCATTCAACAAACATTTCTGGGCCAAATACACACAGTGCACAAGTTATCGGAAATATTTAACAGAAGTCTAAAATCACCAATCATAATGGCTCATAGGCCCACTAAAACAGGCTTTGCTTTGAAATTACATCAGCTTAGCATAATGAATCAGGCAATCATGTTACCATTTATCTATGTGTATCCGATCAATAATGAACGGATGATATAGTTTGTCTAATAAGCAACATTTTAAAAACTGGAGCCCTTGGCGTGCCATTTGGTATTGGAAGACGGAAGAACATGGGCTTCAGAATGTGGCTTCACGGTCTACTCGCCACCAGTTTCAACTCTGGTCCTCCACGAAATCAAGTGACTCAGGACTGACCTGAGACTTTAATCAGATACTTAATGACGTCTCCCCTCCTCATCTGTAAAATACGGATAACACCACTGATCTCACAGCTGTCGCACCCCCAGAGGGGCATCACACAGTGCCCACTGCTGTGTCCTTGCTCTTCACTAACTGACTGTAATATTTACGATTACATTTTCTTTTCCAGTGCCCACTTCGCAGGTAGGAATACCTCGATACTTTCAAGAAAATAACAAATCCTGCCTCTGGCGCTGCCCTGAGAAGGCATGCGCAGCACACAGGAAGCGCACCACAGTCTCCACAGAACAAGCTGGTTTGGGCTGCAACAGCATCTCAGGGTACACAAGCCCAGTGGCCTGTGAGGGTGATGAGAAAGCGCCTGGCTCTCTGTACTGACGGTACCCACAAAAATTTATTTTAGAGATTTCATTTTCTTTCTGAACACAGGAAAAAGATGCTACTTTATGAATAACCACTAACATAAGACAAAATCCTACCGGAAGTTCCTAAATACAAAGAAACTTGACCTTCACGCTTTACTGTCGCTTTTCAGGAGAAGTGACACCAGCTACTATCAAATTTTCTCTCTCTCTTGACCTTTGCTTTGCACACAGTGAGGACTCAATAAACACCTACTTAAACAAACCAGCCTGGATTATTGTGCTGTTCCCTTCTGTCCAACTCCACAGTTCACACAGTCACCAACGGCTAAGGGTGAATAAATCTGACCTAAGGGGCTTAGGTCGGTTGACTAAGGAAAGCAAACCGGCCCGCGGGCTAACAGGGGAGCAAACTGTAAGGAGGGCAGGCCGCAGCCAGGTGGCGACGCAAGCACCAAGCACTCACAGAGGCGAAGGTGCCGATCTGCTTGATGTTCTGTTCGTAGCTCTGTGAGCTGGTGGGCCGACCGGGGGTTCTCCTGGAGTACCAGAAAGTGTAGTTGTACTGCAAGGGGTGCTCTGCAGGCCCGGGAACAACAGCCTGTGGATGAAAGGTGGTGGTTAGTCCTGGACTTTCAGTCATAAGCTCTGAGACTGAGAAAGCAGTGGTTTTTGTTTTTTGAAAGCAGTATTTCTTACCACCTCCACAATTAAGGTTACATCCTCAATTATTTGCCATGCGCCCAAGATTTTGCTTATACAGTAAATACTTTAGTGGTAACTGATTTTACAATCCTTTGACAGTTTATTTGCATTCTGATGTCTTTTGTAACCTTCTACTTCCTGTCACAGGTATTTAAGTTTGTATCTTGTCTGCAAGGAATCCCAGGCCAAGCCCCGCCTCCTCGAGGACACTATCACTGAAGAGCTGGTGACCCCACTTCACCTGTCAGCGCCTCAGCTGCTAATGTGCAAAGTGGTGAAAATAATAATAAACATCTTCTAAGGTTGCTGAGAGGATCAAATAAATTAATAAATGTAAACAACTTAGCACAATGTCTAACACGCAGAAATGCTCCAGTGTCAGTTACAATCTCCGTCACACTTAAATGCCAACTCCCTGGGCCACATCCTCGTTCACCTTTGTGGCTCCTCAGCACCTAAGATGCTCCCGATTGGGGCACTCGGTGCTGTGGAATACATGACCTAATGAGTGCCGAGTTATCAGGAAGGACAATCGTTTGTCTCTCATCCTCTCAATCTTCTTTCCAAGGCACTTTCAGCTGCAACCATCACTGACTAAAGACTCTAAAATTTCAAGGGTGCTCAGCAGCAGCTTGCGAAGCACCCAGTCTTGCGACACTCCAGACGACCTTCCCCGACGGCAAGCTAGGAGAAAGCAGACAGCGAGGTCACACCTCGAGTCCTGTGGCAAGGGAAAAGTTCTAAGTGGGCTAGAATGAACTTGTGACAAAAATCAGACAATCTCACAAAGGCTACCACCAAATTCATCTGGAATCTTCGGCATAAACAGACGCTACAGCCCCGAGGCTACCATACCTATGCAGCACAAGACTCACCTTTCTTTTGCTGCTGCCCTGACTCTTGTCTCGTTCCGTTTTTTCCTTCTCACCATCTTTCTGTGTGCTGTTTTCTTCATTCTGGTCATGGTCCCCGCTGTCATCATCTTTCAAGCTGAGTGGGAGGGCAAAATAATGTTATCCCGGGACCGGGCCCGTGCTCGCGACACAGCCCTGGTCCGAAGAACCACCACCCAGTCACTCCAACACAGGCAGCTGGTGCACTCGGGCAAGAGGAGGGCAGGGGACAAACAAAGGCAATTACGAGGTTAAACAAAAATGAAATGCCTGGCAGCTACCTCACGACTTCCAGAAAGCAGTCTTCCAGTTCTCTGAGAGACTGCACAGAGAAAAGGGAAACAATTTAAGGGATTGTTTCTTTGCCAAAAGTGGGAAACTTCTGCATTAAAGAAGTTTGCTGACCTTTCAATGAAGTCTAGAAACGTAACCTGCCTTTCTCACCACCTCTTGCCTCCCTCCCACCCATGTCCACTGCACCGCTCCAGTGCGTGCTCGCCCCCGCCGTCACGACGGGCTACACACTTCCCAAAGGGCTCCCGAACCCGCACCATCTCCACCCTCCAGCCAGCCTCTCCTGGCCACCAGCACCATCTTTCCGAAGGCAAATCTCAACACCTAATTCCCATGCTTAAAATGTCCCTCGCCCTTCGACGCCCACGCTGTAGACTCAAGTGCACAGAAACAGAAGATACTCTGGAATCTAACTCCTGCCGGCTGATGCCCACCATCCCTCCCCGGCTCCCAAAGCCATCTACCCCTCAGCCCAAGGCACCGTCCCCAGCCTGGCTCTCCCCCTGGAGGGAAGGCACGCCTGGACTAGTGACTTACTGATCTCGGCATCTCCTCAAGCCGGGATAAGAAGATGCCGCGCCAACAAGCAGCACAAGGGGCTGAGCCAATGTTCAATGAAAAGACAGAGAAATGGGGCCTTCCCTGGTGGCGCAGCGGTTGAGTGCTGGGCAGCGAGCTGCCCGCAGCCTCTGCAGTGCCGGGTTGTTCCCCGGCCGCCGGCGAGGGTCCCACAAAAAAAAAAAAAAAAAAAAAGACAGAGAAATGTCTGACAGAGGCTGACAGAGGGATGACATCTCCCAGGAGCAGTCACGTGCGCCTCAGCAGCTACCTTTTTAGCGGCAGAGAAACTACGCTACGGCTTTCAGGCCCACCCGAAGTTCACCGGATTCTGACAAAAAGATAAACAGAGGTTGAGTTCACACAGATAGCGAGAACGTTCAGTCTACAGCCAGATTGTTTATGGATCTTCTCTAGATCACTCACTGGCCCTAATATCTAGTCAAATGGATTAGGTAATTCTCAAGAAAGATACCAGAAATACTCAAATTGTAACTCAGCCATTACAATACACAAGCACAGAAACGGTAATGTGTTTTACATTTCGGTCCACGGATCCTTAGTGCCTGTCATGGAAAAAGCACTCACTTAATGTTAAAGAGGACCAGCCAGCCATCTGCTGGGTGCCTGCTCTCCCACTTCACAGCCCTGGCTGCAGATGTGCTCAGGTGGGGGGGGGCCCTGCACCATGAACCTCTCTGTTCCCACCCTGGCCAAGACAGGAGTACGAAGGGCATCCACCCAAGAGTCCGGCGTTGACCAGTAACTAATGCCTCAGAGCCTCAAGCAGATTCTTCCCCAGCGTGGATCTCAGGTTCAGGAGCAGGGTAGGCAGGTGGGTCCCCTTAAAGAAACACTGTGAGGGGAAGACAAGCAAAAGCTGGTAGCGGGCCAGGGAATGAGGCAGATGAGCAGAGCAGGTGGAGAGGAGTGGCTCTGCGTGTGACGCTGCCATCTCTCTGGCTTAGCTGGGGGCACTTCTGAGGGCCATTATCTGCCCTTTTCCCTGCATTAAACTTGAGTTGGTTTGCTGTGCTTTTCAGTTGGCATCTGTCTAGCACTAAAGTCCCACAACGTATTACTAACCCCACTGTGTCTGTCACCTACGGGCGCGCCTGCCCCACGGACCTGGCCGGGGAGCTGAGGCACATGTACTCGGACTGCAGCATGGCAGAGCCCTGCTCTGCCTACACGTGCCAATGTCGCCACTCGTCTGCTCCCACTCACTCCTTTGGCTCTAGTGCTACGGACCTTGCAGTTTCCCAACAGTAGCCCCATTACGTTCATCACGTGGTCTTTCCTCGGAGAGTGTCTTGGAGAGAGGCTAGTTAACTTGTCCCTCCCAGCTCTGACTGAGGGCCTGTCTCTGGAAATGGACCGTAATCCCCCCAGGCTGAGTCAGGGTCCCTTCTGACCCACCCCCATAAACGTTTGCACTTGTCCCAGCTTTATGTCATGTCATGGCCAGTTTTTTGTCTTTCCATCAAGAACATCTCAGGTCCAACACAACCCCTAACTCTCCCCTGGAGAGCATACTTCAGGGACTCAATCCATTTTCCTCTTAGCTCCCCAGGCCACACTATATCCTCTGGGGCCCCTGCCCTTTAAGTCCTGAAGAGGGTCACTCCAGCGTCTAATTTGCTAGCCCCAAGCGAATCATTTAAAGCCCTTTTTTTTTGGTGGTTTTGTTGCTAGTCACTACTAGGAAACAGAAAAAGATAACAAAATTTAAAGATCTCAGGGAGGAGATGGTGCTGGGACCCCAGATCATCCTTCCCAACTCCATTCTGAGAGGGTAAACGGAAACTCCAAGGAACCTTTACTGGTGCTTTTGAGGGTGGAGCTGACCAACCACCCTGCCCTATGGGCCAACACTTAAGGCAAGTTATTTGCTTTCAATCCTCAAGAGGCTATGCTTACCAGCTTGCAGCTGGATTTGAGCCAAGATACAGTCCAGATGAAAAAAATCTGTGCTCCACAAACTCTGGCAGGCAATTATCATCTGAATGTCCAGACTGAATGGCACCTAGTTTGCTCACCAAGCTCTGCGCAGGTATCTGCCCAGGTATGTCCTTATACTCCATAAATAGACCAATTCCTTACATACTCCATAAATAAACCAATTCAACTTGGTTGAATCCATGTTTACCTGTCCAGCATTAAATCTATGTTTAATGGATGGATTTCCAAAGTGAAAACAATACAAGGCCGACTAGGATGAGTGCCACATACGTGGTTCAGACAATAGTATAAGAATGGGCCAGAAGCTACCAGAGAGAATGGGGCAAAATCAAGTATGGCATCTAGATCTGAAACTGAACTGCTGTACAGTGAAAGCATTTGGGGGCCTCAAGGGCAATGGTAAATAGCAATCTGACAGATGGAGTTGGGGGTCAGGTGAGGATGACAATTAGAGTGTTAGGTTACAGTCACAGAAGTGGGGAGCCCTCACAGTAAGGAGGTCATCAGAGCTCCTCCTTAATCTGAGCCCTGAAATTAGAGGCCGGTACTTAGCTCCAGTATTCTGGCAGGCTGTAGCCCATCCTTACTAGTCCTGTGGTGCAGCAGCCAAATATGTAACAATGGTCTAAACACTATAAACTTTGCATAAAAGAACAAAAACAAAACTAGGGGCAGGAGCACTGCATAAAATTGCTAACTTCAAATGAAAGCTTTGGCTTTTCCCTACATAACTAGAAGACAGGTATTTTTAAATTCTGGCTCAGTATAACAGTTAATACTTAGAAATAATTAAAAATATCCTAGGTTAATTTTTGTCAGAGAGGTGCTGCTTGAGTCACAGCAAAACGACAAACCTGGGAAAGAATCCCACCGTGTGACCCTTCCTTCCTTGTGGGCAAGTTACAAAACCGCAGAGAGCCTTAGCATCCCTATCAGTAAAAGGAGGTAATGAGACCCCCTGTGCAGGGTTGTCAGATGTGGAAATTATATACAAAAAACATCTAGCAAGAAACCTGTGGGAGCCATAATTACCATTCTTAAAATTAGCTTAGTGCCGATGATTGGTTACCCCAAATAATTTGGTTAGGACTGGGTTATTTGACCCACAGAGTGTCTTAAGATGAGACTTTGATTTGTTTAATTCAGCAGTGGAAGTTCACTGAAGGCAGGACTTAGAGCTGGAGTCCGGGGTTGCAGGATTTCTGATGGGAGGGAAGGAGGAAGGGAGGGGCTCGGCTCACCAGCAGGCTGGGGAAGTGTTCCCTCAAAGATACTTTCTAAGGTAGCAGCGACCTCTCAGCAACCAGGAGATATTACTGAGGGGCTGCCTGCTGGGCTGGAATAGAGGCCCCTGGAATTTGCATGCCAGCTCTCACCATATTGGAAAAATACTTTCCCAGCAGCAGCAATTCCACTTAACATACCTTACCAGCCATCAATTTATCCATTTCATCAATTCAAGGCCCCTGATGCATTACTGAATGTGATCTGGTCCTTATCACATCCCAGCGCCGCAGCAGGGCACCGAGTAGCAATGTGGTTCCGTTAACAATGCTCAGAGACTGGGCATTGTTATTTCTGCTGCCGAATAACTGGAAACTGGTGGGCCTGGGACTGGAAAAGTAGGTCTTCAGAAGAGAAGACACTTGCCAGAATATTAGAAAACCAGTGAGAATAGGGCCTCCCCTGGTGGCGCAGCGGTTGAGCACTGGGCTGCGAAGCTGCCAGCAGCCTCCGCACCGCCGGTTCGATCCCCGGCTCACCGGCGAGGGTCCCACATGGCGCCGCTCCCCTCAGCAGTGTTTCGTCAGTCTGCCTGCTCTGCTCCCCGCTCTGGCTCTGGTGACTCCTCTCACCCTCCCGCGCTTCTGTGCCTAGTGCTTATATAAATAAATAAATCTTTAAAAAAAAAAAGAAAACAAGTGAGAATAATCTACCTCAAATACAATAGCTGGAGGGAAATATACTAATAAAATTACGTTCCCTTTCTGCACCCCCAAAATGAAACTGGGCCCAGGAATCAGATCGAATGCAGAGAGGATGACAAGCCCTCCCGTTGGGCCAGAAACCAGGCAGCTCCTGGAGCGCGTGGGGGCAGGGGGCGGGGGGCGGAAGGAGGAAGGAGTTTCAGCAGGACGAGAGTTCGGGAGCAGCCGCGGCGCCGAGCGCGGCAGCGACGTCCCCTCACGGCCCCCCGCAAGCCTGAGACCCCGGGCGGCGCGGAGAGCGGCCGGGGCGGGGCGGGCAGGAGGCGCCGGCCGGGCCGGGCCGGGCCGCGGAAACCCCCCAAGCGCCAGGCCTCCGCCCCTCCACGCCGCCGGCCCCGCGCCGCCCGGGCGGGGCGCCCGCGAACCCCCTTCCGGGCGGCTCGGCGCCCCCGCCCCGCGGCCTCCGCGCCCCGGGGCCCCGGCCCCCACCCGCCCGGCCCGGCGCCCTCCCCGCCCGGCCCGTCGGGACCGCCGCCGCGACCGAGAGGGAGGCCGGCCCCGGCGGGGGCGGGCGCGGGGGCGGTTGGGGGCCGGGGCCCCGGGGCGGCCACGCGCCACTCACGCGTCGAACTTGTTGTTCATCCTCTCGCCGCCGCCGTCGCCGCTGCCTCCCGGGGTGACTTCCGCTCCGCCGGGTCCCTCCGCCTACGGTCCGGCCACTTCCGGCTGCCCGGGCCCTGCGGAACGTCGGCGCGCTGGTCCGGCAGGGGGCGGAAATCCCGGGGCACCCGCGCCGCGGGGCCGCTGTTCCGGCGCGACCGCGCTCGCGCGTCCCGCGGCTCCGTGGAGACGCGCCGTGACCTTCTCGCTTCCGGGGAGGCGGCTCCGCCCCCAGGGCGGGCTGCGCGGTGCTCGACCCCTGACCTCCCCAGGGCCGTTTCCCCCTCGGTGTGGCGACGCTGGGCAGCGTAGTCCTGACCTGCGCGGGCTGCGCGGGAGGGTCAGTGCCGGGCGCGGGGCGCCCCCCTTTGCGCGCTGGAGCCGGGGCTGGGGCCCCTCTCCGCGCGCCGCGGTACTCGCGGAGCTGGAGGGTCACGCCAGGGGCCCGACCTGGTGAAAGGCTCGCTGGACCCGGAGGTCATCTCATCCGCTGACCTCCGCGAGCCGGTTCTCTGCGCCTGCGCGCGCGGTGGCGTCGGGCACGACCCCGCCGGGGACTGACCCCAAAGCCAGGGTCCTGGACTCGGGGAGGGGTATTGCCGGGGTCCTCTCGCCCCCACGGGCCCCGGTGTCTGGTCTTTCGGTGTCGTGGCGCTTTCACAGCTTGAATCCCCTCTATAGCGGCTCCCTCCCCTTCCAACCTGTGCCTTAAACGTTTTGTTAGGAAAGTGGAACTTTTAAATTCTAAGAGTTATACACGCACCACCCTTTCTTCTTCTTTATCGCTAATCCCCTCCCTGTTATTAACTTTTAACTCACAACTGGTATATATTTCTCCAACTAGCAAAATGTGCCCCTTGGGTGTTTATGCACCATTAAGGGCACGCACCTGCTGGTCCTGTGGGGTGTAGCCAGGAAGGAGCACTCCCTGCAGAGAATGGTAACTATGACACCTGCACTGCTCAACGTCTTCTGGGGCCTGGGAATGTGGAGCACCTTATTCCCTTCACATCTGGCACCTCCTCACAGTCTTCCCCCGGTATGTAATCACAGCACCCTGCCCTTGGGGTACTGCCTTTAAGGGTGTTAAGCCCAATGATTGCCTTGGTGGCCACCTTGAATAAACTCCTTTGTGAAAAGACATTCTCATGGTTCAGCGAGCAAAACGTTTAAGGTACAGGTTGGAGGGGGAGGGAGCTAGCTATAGAGGGCATTCAAGCTGTGAAAAAAGACCTGGCTTGGTTGCTTACACCTATAGCTGCACCTTTGAGCCTGTGATGAGGGTGGCTAGGAACTAATAGCTGTGCCCATAGTTATTGGTAAGGAAACAAAGAACAAGAACAGATGACTTGACTAGGTGACCCTCCGATCCCCAGCAAAACTGGGGTGCCAGTTATACTCAGAGAAGGGCCTTGGTGTTCCCCAAGAAGACCTCAACCGGGCATCTTGTTTTCTAAGCCTCCAAGGGAGGCTGGTCAGGGTCTTCTCCCAGCAGGTAGAGCCCAGTTGGTTTCCTGTTACCTCCCAGCTTCCCTGTCGACATCTTCCTCGTCTCCACCAGCCCTTGGGACCAGCCCTGGTCTTTGAGAAGAGAAGAGGGTTCTGTTTTCCAGGTCATAGAATCTTCCTTAGAGTATCTAAGTTTGGGTCAGAATTGGGAAATCTGGACTCCAATCCTTAATCACCAGTATTCCGGTAAAGAACAAGAAGAGAGGAAACCCCAATTTGCCCATCTGAAACCTGATGGAACAGTGTTTCTTGTTGGCCATGATTCTGTGAAGAGCTTTTAACTGAGAAAAAAAAAAAAAAAGATAAAACTCAAGGAATCTTTTGTGTCGCCAATGCCAAAAAAAATGGCTATGGATGGAAGGGTCACTGGTATAGTTGTTAGGTATTTGCAGTACCCATGGGTGCAGGGGCAGGAGATGCCATCCAGATTGGCTGCTGCCCTTCACACCTGTTTTGACTCTCCCTCAGGAACCTGGAGGGATGGGCCCCCACCTAGTTGCGGGCATCATACTAAAGAGTCCTCTCGAGGTTCTGAGATGATGAGAATTGATAATGCTTTGCTGAGGAGGGGGAGCCAGGAAGGCAAGCCAGGGCCACCGACTCCCACCTGCCCACCCATCCCCAGCCACTCCAGAACTTGAGCCCATTCTTTTATTTCCGCCAGAGGGCACAGGCATGGCAGCAGCACAGGCACGGCAGCAGCCGAGGCTCCCCCTGGCGGCTCAGTCAGGCAAGGGCAGGTAGGGGCGGGGGTCTCCCGGGAATGGCAGGGCTGGCACCCGGTTGTAGTGGGCCAGGAGGAAGATGCCAGCAGTGCCGCAGACGAAGAGCGAGAGCATAGCCAGGAAGCAGACGCGGTCCAGCACACGGCCCACCAGGAACCACTCCTCGCTCCCCTGGGGGCGGGAGGCAGGGTGTGGGGTGAGCGGCCACAGCCCCAGTCATGCCCTGAATCCCTGGACAGTTTCTTGGTCCCATCTCATCTACTTGCTGCCTTCCTCCATGACCCCACCCCACGTCCCTCCCATCCCATGGCCCACCACGACCACCCTACTCACACTCCCCACCACCAACGAGGCTCCCCCTGGCGACGGGCTTACACTGTCAAAGTGGCTCTGCTGGTGGCGGGCACGGGCAATGAGGTTGCAGGCTTCCACGCAGGCCTGGATGGCTGGGGCGGCCTGCTTCAGGCTGCCACATAGCTCCTGGTGGTGGCCTGGCTCCGGTCCTTTCTCTGATGAGAGAAGGGACACTTGGGCCAGAGCATGGAAGAGGAACAGGCAGAGAAGGTAGCCTCTCCTGCGGGACCCCAACCTGGACACTTGCCCAGCACTCATCCGCTCCGCCTGGCACTGTGGCCAGCAGACAGCCCTGGCGTGCGGGGGAAGAGCCCTACCCGCCCCGCCTCACCTAGCTTCTCCAGCGCTGCCCTCACCAGCCCGTTGCGCTGCCGCTGCCGGAAGAGCAGTTCACTGCGGGGCAGGCAGAGGGTCATCTCGGCCCCCGCTGTGACTGCCCGCCCGGCGCCACTCTGTAGCTGGGGCCGGGCATCCTGCACAGCCGCCGGGGCTGGCGGGCGCATGTGCATCCGCAGCAGCTGGGGCACGAACCGCAGGAACACCTGGAGAAGGGACGGCCTGGAGGACTTAGATCACAGCCAGCAGCCCTGGGCATGTGGGCAGCCAGGCTAGACTTCAGAGCACAAGGTGAGAATGGCACGAAGGGCCCAGAAGCATCACTGTGGGGACTGTGGCTTTGCCCTGGCACAGCTGGGCTGTTCTGTGACAGGGCTGAGCCCGGGTCTCCAAACTTTTGTGCACATCAGAATCACCAGGGCACTTGTTCAAATACAGATTCCCAGGCCCCAGCCCTGCTCTCGCAGCCTAGGATGCCTGGGGAGGCCCTAGGAATAGGCATTTGTGACCAGGGCCCCAGGTGACTGCTGCAGGTGGGCGGCAGAACACGCAGTCCGGGGCCAGAACTACCTGGGAAGACTGCTGCCCCCTTCACTTTCTAGCTGGGTGATCCTGGGGGAGCTACTTGCCCTCCCTGGGCCTCAGTCTCATCTCCAAAATGGAGATGATACCAATGCCCGCTTCGCAGGGGTTCTATGAAGATGAAATAATTAGCATGCATACGTATCAAATGCCACTTAGCAAGCACTGGATGTCATGATCACATAAGCAATTCACATGCTTCAAGTCACAGGCGGGGCAGGCTTGCTGGTGGCTGAGGCAGGCCTGGGGGGCAGAGGGAGGAGCGTGTGAGTGGACTGGGCAGGAGGATGCTGGGGGGGGCAGAAGGGGCCTGGCCTTGCCTTTCGGACCCCGCGGGCCATGGCGTGCGTGTGTGGGGACCTCAAGGACACGTTGAGCACGACCACAGCGTTCACGACAATGAGGATGGTCACCGCCAGGAGGAAGGTCAGGTACCTGTCAGGTACAGTGGGCTGGAGGGGGCTGGGCTGGCCATTCTGCTCTTGTCCCCAGCCACCCCTCCACATCCCAGGGGGTAAGGGGCGGGCACTGAGGATCCCACCGCTGGAGGATGGCAGGCAGTGTGCCCAGGGTTCTTGAGAAGGGAGAGAGAAAGTGGGCGGCAGCCAGACCAGCCTTACTTGCTGATGAGGGGCACCGCCTGCGAGGTCTCAGGCACCTTCTTGGCCACCAAGAAGAGGAAGACGGTCTGGGCGAGCAGCACGTTCACGGCCACGGTGCACTTCTGACCACCAGCTGCCGGACACCCAGCGACCCTGAGAGCAGCTCTCCACCTCCCCCGCAGGGCCCCGCTGCCACCCCCAGGGGCCCACTGCCCCGGGCCCCCCGCCGGCGTCAGCCCCCCGCAGGCCCCGGTACCCTTGGCCGGCAGGAAGTAGATGAGGATGGCGACCGAGGAGATGAGCACGCAGGGCGCGATGATGTTGATGACGTAGAAGAGGGGCTTGCGCTGGATGAGCAGGTAGAAGACCACCTTCTGGTGGCCGGCTTCCTCGGCCGGCGCGCCCGCGTCCAGCAGCGTCTTGGCCGGCCGGTGGCGGATGGCCCACTCCCCGTTCTCTGTGGGGCGGGCCGGGTGGGCGCGGGCAGCGTGGGCGGGCCAGAGCCCCCTTCCTGCCCGGCCCAGGCTGCGGGAGTGCCCGGACAGTGCGGAGGCCGGTGCCCAACCCCCACCCAAACTGGAGGGGCCGGGGGGAGCCAGAACTCAGCTGGGCTTTGGAAAGAAATGTGTTTTCTGCTTTACTGTAGGTTTCCTCTCCAGCTGCCTGGGACAGGGCATGACGCGGGCCTGGCCCTGCCCCGAGCCAGGTCCAGTGGGGCCCTGGGTGAGGTACCTGTGAAGGCCTCGGGGTCAATAAAAATCCACTCGATGGTCCGGCCTGCTTCCTGGCTGAGCTGCAGGTTGATCTCGCTGGTGCTGTAGGTCTGGGACCTGGGGAGCCAGGGAAGCGGGGTGGGGAACCTTCACGAGTGTGGAGGTCCGTTCGGGAAGTCCCACAGGTGCTCACGGAGGACGACTGTGGGCAGTTTTAGCTGAGTCGTCCACGAAACCCAGGTGGCCAGTGGGGGGACTCAAGAGGCTGCAAGAACTGGGATCCCTCTGCGCTCTCCCTCCCACTGCCCAGAGGACAGCAGGCTTCAATGGCTAGAACACAGAGCAGCCAGGCGGCACCTCCCAGGCCTGTGTTTGAGGAGGATTCCCCTGCCAGGCCCCTGGGAAAAGCCAGCTCCTCTGAAAGAGGACGGACTCACCCCACCTGCCCCCGCCTGCCCCTTCCGGGGGGGGTGTGGGCTGGAGTGGTTTGTGTGTGTGGTGCACACGTGTGCGCATGCATGCAGGTTGTGCAAGGGTGGAAGCCTTCTCACCCAGGCACCCGAGACAGTCATTTCTCCCCTGGGGGCACAGGCAGGGAAACTGAGGCTGTGAAGGAGGATGGGGGGTGGGGAGACTAAGGCATCATCAGGTGTCTGGGCCACCAAGAAGAGGAACCAACCAGAGGTCTTGAGTCCTGCACCCCCAGCCCGGGTCCCTCTTGGGGCCACTCTTAACGCTCCCCCCATAAATGGTCTCACTGGAAGACGAGGGAGCAGTTCTGCCAGTCGAAGGGGAAGTAGGTGACAGAGACGGGGCAGGCAGAGCGGAAGATGGCGGGTGGCAGCCAGTAGACGCAGCCGTCGGGGGACACGAGCACGTTGCAGTAGAGGGCCACCTCGAACACGCCGTCCACGCTGCGCACGGGCAGGCGGGAGCTGCAGTCTCCCGCTTCTGCCCCAGGACGGGGCCTGGGCCCCGACCCTTCCCAGCCAGTCACACCCCCGCCTGGGCCCTCCCAGCCACCTGACCTGCCACCTCCACCCGCCCACAGCCCCCCTGCCACCACCCCCATCTCCAAAGCAAAGCTTGGCCGGCTGCTGAGCTCTGGCTTTGCACTAGAGGGGGCACTTTCTGAACCTGTCTGGTTGGCCCCTGGCACTGCCGCAGGCGCAGTCCTGGTCCCCAGGGTCCCGGGAGAGGTGGGCCCTGCCCAGAGGTGACCCAACTGGGTCCTCAGTGAGCACCCTGCCCTCCGTACCTCCCTGGCCAGCACTCCCAGCTCCGAGGGGCCCCAGGGCTGCACCCCCGTCCACCATCTCTTTCCCCGGAGCCCGTTGGACGCCTGGCCCCTGCCCCTGTGCCCTTGGCCTCCCGGCCCTGCCGCGCCTGCTCACTTGTTCTCCAGCACGACATCGGGCCGCCACACCATGGTGGACGGCACCCGCAGCACCCACAGGCCTTCGTAGTCTTGTGGGTCCCAGCGCAGGCGGTAGTCACACCACTGCTGTGGGGAGGGCGAGGTGCCAGGCCTGCTCCCTGCTGCACCCCCTCACCCCACGGGAGCCCAAGATGGGAGGGCAACAGGCAGCTTGGAGGGCCTTGGGGCTCCGGGGTGGGGGGCCCGCTAGGGGGAAAGAGGGTGACAGGGTGCCCTCTTACCATCTCTATCCAGACGTTGGTGGTCAGGGCCTCTTCTCGCTCGTTCTGGGGGTGCAGAATGGAGCGCTGAGCCCCCATCACTTGCCCTTCCCAGATATGAGTCCCCACAGGCCTCCTTGGGGTCCTCCAAGCAGGTTTTCCAGCTCCTGGTGTCTCCTTGGGGGCCCTCCTCTCTCCTCCCAGGCTGCTGGAACCCCCAGTCTCTCCCTGGTGGGTCCCACACAGCCCCCTCGCCCCCACATCCTGCAGGCCTGCGGCTCACCAGGGAGATGAGGTTGGTGAGGGTGAGCTTCAGGCTGACGTTGACCACGTCGGAGTCCCGCTGTGCGGGCCGCAGGTGGGGGTTGTAGTTGTGCATCAGGTCTGCGAGCAGACGCTCCTCCTGGTTCCGGCCCTCGGCTCCTGCAACAGACCCAGTGAGCCTGGGCGCGGGGCTTGGGCAGAAAGGGGGTGGGCCCGGGCGGAGACGGCGCGGCCTGGAGAAGCAGGGAGCTGGGGCTGGAGGGCCGGCTTCGTTCGTTCTCTAGGCCCTCTGTGCCCTGTGCCCTTGACCTCTGCTCTGGGCCACCCCGGACCCCCGCCCCATGTCCGCACCCAGGCAGCCGGCCAGCAGCAGCGGCAGCAGGAGCAGCCCCCGGCCCCCTCGCATGGTGCCACAGCTCTGTGCAGCGACAGGGGTGGACGGCAGCTCCCCGGGTCTGGGGCTGAGAGAGGCAGGGGCTCGTGTAACAGCCCACACTCCCACCCCAGCCTGCCGGGCCCGGCCCCACCAGCTGTCGGACCACAGCACCGTCAGCTGTTCCCGCATGGGCACAAGGTTGGCTCAGGTTACCTGGACTGCGAGGGGACAGAGGGGCCCGTCTTCCCCAACAGAGACGGTCTAGCCTCCGTCCCCGCGCTGACTCCATCCGAGCTCCAGCTGGGGGCCTGAGGACCCAGCCAGGGACAGATGGGTGTGGGAGGGAGCCCAGGGTGCGGAGGATGTCTCCCTCCTGCTGCTCCCTCCTCCTGCTCCCCTCAGTGGGCAGGTCCCGGGGAGGGTGAAGGCTGACGAGCAGGCAGGCTTGTTTTGTGTTTGAGCTGGTTGAAGATCCCAAGCTTCCTGCCAGCCTGACATCTTTGTGGGCCACCGCTGGGCCGGGACCCCAAGTGGACAGCAACCACACTATTTGCATCTCCCAGGTTTGACATAACACAAATTACGGTGCCAGCTCAGGGCCTCCCAGTCTTTGGGACACAGGCCTGGCCAACTTTGAAGGAAGGGGGCCTGAGAAAGATCTGGATCTTGGGACTCTTGTGAGAGTCCTAAACAGGGGCTCTTCGTGGGGACCTCAATATTTATTAGTCATCTGGAGACCCATGGAGCCCACAGTAGGTGGCAGGTCCAGCACCAGGCCAGGGGACCAGGGTGCCCCCGAGGTGCTCACAGGAACCCACAGTCCCATGGACAACAGGTGAACGACAGCTGGTGGCACTGGAGAGTGGGGTGAGGGGACCCAGAAGGGCTGGAAAGCAGGCTCCATCCACTCTGGTTTGTGGTCAGGGGAAGGGCAGGGCTGAGGCCACCAAGGAGTCAAGGGACTTGCTGGCCACGGCCACGGGTTCAGGCCTCCTGCCCCCATCCCCAGTACCCAGGTCAGCCAGTCCCAGGATATGGGTGAGGCAGAAAACGCGCGTCCTGTATGTGCCACCCAGTCTTTGGCAGCCCAGGGGCAGGGTGGTGGAGGGGCACTGCCATTTAAAGACACGCTCTCCCCCCCACCCCCCAAATAATGCTATGCGTGGTGTTTCACTGTGTCAGAAAATCGGGAGTCACCAAGGTGCCCATCCCAATGAGGCTGGCTCAGACCCCAGCTGCCCCCAGTGGGGTCACAGGTGGCCCCGTCCTCGGGGGTGGGGCGGAGGGAGGTGGCAGCAGCGGCATGGGCTTTCCCATCGTCACTGTCCCCTGTGCCGTGGGAGGCTCGTCTGCCATCCTTGCTGCAGTTAAGCTCTCGGGTTCAATTTGCCTTGACAGCCCCCCACTTGGCTCTCATTGCCCTTGAGTGTGTAGTCCATGCCCCTCTCCCCTCTCCCCGGTGCCCACCACCCCCAGACTCAGTCCCTCGCCATTTCGCTGCAGTTTCTCCCCTCGCTTCTCCCCTCTAAGACCACACTTTGCCAAAGACCAGGAGTGGGTACCCCTCCCCAGCGCCCGGGGCACAGGGGGTCCTGACCCCCCAGTGTTGGGAGGGGAAAGGAGTCTCTGGAGGGGGACCCCATCTGATGTGAATTGTGCCCCTCCTACCTATGAAGATTTCAACGATCATTCCCCGCTTTCTCTGGGGGGGGGTGCTCTGGGAGGCTGAGAAGCGTCCTGGTGTGCTCAGGAGGGTGCGTGGCCTTCCTGGAGGGGAGAATGGCAGGAGGGGCCCTCTCAGAGCCCGTCTTCTGTTCACGCTGTTCCTCGGGAATAACTCCTCCTTTGCCATCTTTTGCTCTCGAGCCTGGGAGAGCCAAGTGCCCCCTTCCGGGCTCCCCAGGCAGCCCTGTCTCTCCAGGCAGCCACAGCGCTTTCCACAGACCACAGGCCCTGTCACCAGGGCGCCCAGTCTGTTGGCGCCTTTGCCCAGAAGCCTGCGCTCGCAGGCACCTCTGCTCACGTTCAGTGAAGGTGCAGACATTGCTTTGTTAGACACAGCGCTGGTGCACACGCAGCAGAACGCACTAAACTTTATTATAATGTTTATTGCAAGGATCTGGAGCTGAACCTGCAGTCTCGCGAGGGGCTTGACCAGTGGGGTGTGCGGAGGTCAGCTGAGGACCGCAGGGGACAGCTTCTACTTCCTGAGGAAGGGGGTCAGGAATGGCAGGCCCCTTCCCTGCCTGGGGCAGAGACGTGAGGCGGGGCGCCCAGGCGCTTGCCACCACTGCCTCGCCGTTCTCCGAGCGTGGGGAGAAGGAAACTTCATCTACTTGAGCCATCTTTGAGTTTCATGTGCCTGCGGCCCCATGTCTTCATCGCCCTCTGAAAGCGGGTGGGAGTCCCACCGGCCTACAGACAGTGTGTGGGGGCACCCCCTGGGGTCATTGAGTGTGAATTCCCGGGAGGGAAGGAGATAGACTTCCATGTCACCCAGACAGGGGACCAGGTCCGACAGCACCCTGGGGTGGGGTACTGGGGGGGTGTGCTGTGGCCTTGGGAACCTGCACGAGAGGTAACCCTGGTCAAGGGTGGCCATTGGAGTTTGTCTGCTCTACAGAGTTTGCAGCCTCCAGAACAGGGTCTGACTGTGACTCCAGACTCCCCTGGGGTGGGGCGGAGTGGGGGTGGGGTGCGGCGCTGGGGCTGGACTCTGCAGGCCCCACTGCCAACAGCACCACCATGTGGCAGAGAGATGCAATGGCACTCGCGGGCAGGGGGTGGGTGGTGCTGGTGCCCACAGGCTAATCTCTGGGCAGGAGACAGGGACCTTCCTGGAGTCAGTGGAGATTCCAGGGAAGTCCCAAACTTCCTACTCAGGTGACAGGTGTAAGTCCAAGTTAGTTTTCCTACTCAGGGGAGGAAGTAAAAGATGTACACCTTGAATTTATGGATAGTGTGTATTGGAATTAACAAGAGTCAGTTTTGGTTATAAGTGGTTTGTCTTGTCTTTGGTTCCATCAAGAGACTAACGATCTCACGTTCTGTAAACCTGAGCCCATGGGATCCCTCTGCGATGTGAAGACCTTAAGCTTGCACAAGGAGGTAACAAATCGGGTGCTCTGCCTGCTCCAATCCATTGGCAGTCACCCACCAGGCTTAGATGCTGGAGAGCCTTGTGAGATGAGGGGTGAGTTCAAGAACTTGCAGGACACGTGTAAGTATCTTTACACCACTAATGAATTCGATGGTCACAAGCCATGAGCAGATGAGAAATGGAAGCTAAGAGATGAGGATGACTCACCCAAGACCCCACTCCTAGTGCTACATACAAACCACCCCAAGACTTTGTGTCATAAACAACATTTATCATCTCACACAGGTTCTGAGGGCCAGGAATTAGAAGCAGCTGAGCTGGGAGGTTCTGGCTCAGGGACTTTCATGGGGCTGTGATCTCATCTGAAGGCCCCATTGGGGCTGGAGGCTCCACTTCCCAGTTCACTCACATGGCTGTTGGCAGATCTTGGTTCATTGCCATGTGGGCTTCTCTGTCGGCCTTCTCATCACGCCAGCTGACTGCCCCAAAGCGAGAGATCCAATTGAGATGAGAATGAGGGGTGGGGCTGGAGGGAGAGAGGCAGAGAGAGAGGCTGCGGTAATGTCTCTGATAACCCAACCTTGGCAGTGACTTGTCATCACTGTTGCCTCATTCTACTGGTCACATAGACCAAGCTGGTGTGGGCAGGGGCTACACAAGGTGTGAGTTCCAGGAGGTGGGGGTTACTGGGCCATCTTGGGGGTGGGCCCCCATGTCTCCCAGCTCCTGTAGCCTCAGTCTTTGGCCCCTGGGATGGAATTGATAGGGGCTTCCTTTGGAGCTGAGTAGGTTTAGCAAAGGGAAACACAGGCTACTCAGTTAAATGTGAATTTCAGGTAAACAACGAAGGCTTTTTTAGTATAAATATGTCCCAGATATCTCGTGACAGCCCTGCTCGGGGAAGGGGAATAGACCCAGAGGAGCCACTCCAGGGAAGGCCGGGCCCTGGAGTTCTGGCACTGGGCATATGGCCCAGCTGATGGGCTGACCTCTGACCTCTGACCCTTCCACCCTCTCCTCAGCCTCTGCAAGGGCCCAAGGCAGAAGGGGCTGGGAAGGCCACTCTGCCACCCTGGCGCTCCCACCTCCTTTCCTGGGGTCTGGGAAGGAAGGTGCCCCCAACCTCAGCTCCAGATGGGGCATCAGAGGCCTGAGCTGAGGGCTCGGTGGGAGGAGCTCACCTGCTCTGGACCCACCTGGGGGATGGAGAAACAAGAAGAGGCCTCCCTGTCAGATTAGACACAGAGGGATTCTCCAAAACCAGCCCATGTGGCAGCCTCCCGGCCCCTGAGCTAGCCCCTGCCTCCTCCCAGCAGTACTGCCTCACCCGCCGGCTCCCCTATCTCGGGATGGCCCAGTTACCTGCACCTCAGCCTGGCACAACCAACTGGCTCAAGTCTCAGAGCCAGGGGCTGGTCTCCCCAGGGAGACTTACTACTCCCCAAACCCCTGTCCACGTGGCTTCTTGCCAGTTTTGGGCTGGGTCTTTGCCCACCCCCTTAGGTGCAACCCTTCCAGGCCCAAGGCCCAGCCTGAGGCTGCCCAAGGAGCTGGGTTGGGGGCAAGGTAGACCCACCTAGATGAAGCGCCTGTCCTGCTCTTGGTAGGAGAAGGGGTCCCCAGGGAAAGGCTGGGGGGGAGGCTGGTTGTAGGCTCCCTGCAGGAAGATCCAGGCCGTGCCCACCACCATAATGGGCGTGACCACAAACAGGCAGAGTCGGTCCACCGTGCGGGCCACGAGGTTCCAGCTGTCCTTCTCCTGCAGGTGAGGGATAGAGGCGGGGCAAGGTGGACCCTCCAACCCCATACCCATGGCCCCGAGCTGGCACCCAGAGACAGAGCCATGGTCTCAGGGTATCTGTGGGGGCTGCCCCGGACTTGCAGCAGGTGCAATGGGCTGCCGTGTTCCCAGCAAGGGCCTCGGACCACTCTGGCTGCAGGCAGGGCGGTCATTTTATCTGCCTAAGAGACAAAGAGCAGGGCCAC